CCACCAAATGTTGACAAGGATGCGGAGAAACTGCATCACTGTGGGTGGGCATGTAAAATGGTACAGTCAGTATGGAAAACAGTTCGACGGTTGTTTTTCCAACTGCATATGACCCAGCAATTGTACTCCATTTATCCAGAGAAATGAAAACTTATGTTCACACGGAAACCAGTGCACAAATATTTATAGCTTCTTTATTCATTATAGCCCCAAACTGGAAATGACCCAGATCTCTTTCAGTGGGTAACTGGGTCAACAGACTGTGATATTTTCACACTATGGAACACCACTCAGCAAAAAGAAATAAACTACACACACACATGTGATGAATCTCCAGAGGATTATGTTGAGTGAAAAAAGCCAATCCCAAAAGGTTACATACTGTATGATTCTATTTATACGACATTCTTGGGATGGCCAAAATTACAGAAATGGGAAACAGATTAGTGGTTGCAGGGGGGAGGGAGGGAAGCAGCAGTGGCCTAAAAGGCGACCTAAGAGGCCCTGTGCTGGTGGACACGTGTTACTGCCAATTGCTTACTCGTTTTGATATTGTGCTGTAGTTTTGCAAGATATTACCACTGAGAGACACCGAGTAAAAGGTGTGGCAGATCTCCCTGCATTATTTCTTAAACTGCGTGGGAATCTACAACGACCTCAAAATTAAAAAGTTTAGTTTAAAAAAATACGAGAATGACTGAAGTAGAAAAGAACCAGAGCAAGAGAGAGAGAGAAGGAAACAGAATGTGACCAAGAGCTTAAGAGAAGGAGTCAGGGCCATCCGCAGAGATGAAGGGCCGGGCAAGGGGCGGCCTCCCCCAGCCCGTCAATGGGGCCCAGGCTCCGCTCCTCGGCCTTCCGTCCTCCCTCCCTATGGCCCTGTGTCTACCTTGCGCTCCCTCCCTCCAAGCCTCTCCTCCCACCTCTTCCATGTCCCCCATGAATCTGTTCATCCAGCCCCTTAGAGAGCCTCCCCCATCGCCCTGGCTGCCCTGCAGCCCTCTGTGCACTCTCCAGTGGCGCTTGCCACCAGTGCTGCACTTAGTCATGGGCAGGTCTACTCTCCCCACAGATCAATCGTCTGGTCTGAGAGTTCTCCAAGGACAGGGCAGGCATGGTGTGATCCGGTCTTCTATCTCAGGTGTCTACACAAGGCCTGGCCTGTGGAAGGAGCTCCATACCCACTGTTGAAGGAATATACGAGTGACTTTTGAGTTCACCTGGTAAAGGGCACTTTACAAAGCAACTGAGCCCATCTGCCTCGGGCTGGGGACACCTTCCTACCCTGGTGTCCAGTGGCGTTGCTGTGCTGCAGCCCAGGATATCTGGCTGTCATGGCAGCCGGGGCACCTGTGGCTTCTATTGGCCCTGCTGGACAGTCACCTTCCCAGGCCAGAGGCAGCCCTTCCTCCCCGCCAGGTTCTAGGCACCCAGTGCCCAGTAGCACAATCTTGCCCGGGGTAGGGTGGAGTGGAGGGGGCAGACTTGGAGGGTGGTTGAGACAGAGGTTGGGCCCCAGGCAGCATCTGAGGTCCTCTCAGCTCTTGCCCCTGCTCCCCTTTCCTTTCTGAGCAGCAAGAAATAGTGTAGGATGGTGGCATTAGCACTCCACAATTGTAAGGCTAGGGGCCTGAAATATGAGAGAAGGTGTGACTGCCAAGTCACTGGGGCTGAATATGACATTGCAAGCTTGATCTTCCTCCTCCCCTTACCCTCTATTTCCCTGCCTCCCCCATCCCCCAGACTCTCTGGCCACCATATGGAGGTGACCAGGAAGTGCTGTGGCTACCTGACAACTGGTCATATCATCCCTGACCTTTTCTCCCCAGCCTGCTCCTGGTCTGGGATGATAATGGAACTTAACATTTAAGCAGCAGCCAGGATCCCCAGGGTCATGTGTTAAAGGTTTGGCTCTGACATTTAACTTAACACAGTTCTTGGCAAGGGTTACTGCCATCCTGGGCTCTGTTGACTAGAATAGCTCCCTTATCAGAATGTCAAGGTAGGAGGAACTAGATAAGCTGCTGCTGCGACACTGGCAGGGCCTTGGAGGCCAGCCACCCGGCCATCCAGCCCTCGGCTGGCAGGGTTTCAGGAAGGGGAAGCTGTCCACTCAATTCTAAAATCATTTCAGAGAAAGCCACTCCAAAAGTCTTTTCAAGAAATACATTCAGGTATTTTTACTCAGATACCTTACTACATTCCTTTGTGTTTGAACTCCCATTTTTCTTGTCTTGTCTTTAGGCAAAAAAAAAAAAAAAAAAAAAATCCTCCATGGCTGACAAGTGTCTTAATAATAGTCATCTGATGACGGAATCTCTCTTAGAAACACTGCCAGCTTTTGACGACCTGTTTGTAGCTCATACACAGTGAACATTGTAGGCTAACAGTGGCTTCCTTGAACTACCTGGTGGGTTTCTGGGTCCCTGCTTTCTTTCCAGGGCCCTCCCCTCACCCTGGCCTGAACATTCAATCCATGCTGGCTCAGAAAACGCAAGATTTTGCTAACATTCTTTTAAATGGAAAGCATAACCCTGCCCAATGATCCCATTCCAGGATTTTCAAAACTTAATTATTCCTGGTATATGCTAGGTGATAAATGGTTGTTAAATGGATTCAAAACAAAAAAACCAAAGTAGAAGCAGTTTTCAAGTGTGTGGATGCACAGCGTACATTTGTGGCTTTGCCCATAGAAAGCACAGAGAATCAGGTCTTTTAAGAGCAAATGGGAACTGGGGAATGGGCACTCTAGTTATGGGGTTAACTTCAGCACAGATGACTAGAGCAGCCTTCAGAGGCTCCCAAAGTCCTGGACAAGATACCCAGTTGGGCACTTGCAGAAAGCCCCAAAGGGATCTTGCTACACAGCCTGCAGCAGGGGCAGTGAGGCCAAGAGAATGCTGTGACAGTCGCACTGGTGTCTCTGCTGGATGCACCACTCAGGCCATGCGTGCAGATTCAGGGAAACCCACACTGGGGAATCCCACTGAGATCTGCGTTCATTCCAGAGAAGGTAGCTAAGCTTTTGGGACAGCCTGGGCAGAGAGATTGGCATGTGTCATTTCCTCTTAACCCACCCTTCGTCCTGTCTCATCTTGCAGCTGAACTGCTGGCTGGGTGGTGTGCATTCACGCTTTGTTTAATGCAGGCATGCTCCTTAAATAAGAAACACTGCCTGTGAGTAGCACCAGCAGTTTACAGCAGCTTCTGGAGAGGCCAGAAAACGTCTGTACCTGAGTGGTGGTCCCCTTTCTGTTGGAGAGTTAGGCAGGAAGTCTAGGACATTGTTCCGGTGAAGATCATTGTGCTTTGTGGGACGCACAGGCCAGTTCTCTATGGGATGTTTCCTCTCTTTCAATGGTGGCCCTGCTGCTGTTCTTCCCAGAAGAGCACACCCTGCACTCCAGGACTCCCACTGAAGGCCGGACCTTCTGCCTCTGAGCAGAATGATGCCATCTCAGGTCTGCTTGATAGTTTAAATCCCCAGCCAAGCTGGCCAAGCTTCTCATGCCAGAGCCCAACCAAAGGCCTCTTCCCTCTCTGACTCCCACATCATTCACTCTGCTCCGTTCATCTGTCAGATTCTAGGAAGCCTCAGCCAGCCAGCTGATGGGATTTACACCTGGATTTGAATAAAAGGCCTGGATTTGGGAACACCTTTCAGGGTTAGAGTTTGACAGTGGAAAAAAACCTGGATTTGAAGCCTGAGGACAAAGGTCTAGGAGATAACAGCACTGCCACGGTGCTCAGATTCTGTTAGCTTTCATCTCATCTATAAAACAGGAGGGACAAGCCGTGCCTCACAGGACTGGTGTCAGGATTAGCTCATCTAAGCCATGTCAATGTGGTTTTTTACTAAAACCAAGGTGCTAGCTCGGCATCTTGTTTCCATAAATACTAGCTTCTTTTCACTACCTCTTCCTCACCTGGAAAAGTGCTTTGTGAACCAGAAAGTCCTATAGCAAATGACGAAAACAAGGTGTGTTTTGGAGTCAGACCCAGGTGAGAATCTCACTTTCTCAGCTGTGCACCTCAGGCAGATTACACAGCCTCTCTGGGCTGCCAAATCTCACCTGTAGGATGAGGACGAGCATCTCTGTTTCATGAAAAGGACTAACAGGGAGTCAAGCACTTGCAACACGCACGTTCCCACTGATGATCCTCTGGTGTTTGAAAGGGCTCTGGGAACAGGTGCTGGGCTGGCCTCACCCGCCCCATGCTCATGTTTAGGGTGGGCCCTGGAACTTTAGGGACCAGACCTGGTCCAGGAGCCAGCACCGACCTGAGGTGGCTCCACAGCCCTAGGGGCAGGAAAGCCCTGTTTCAGGGAAGGCAGGGACAGCGTCTGGGCTCCGACAGCTCTTCAGGGACATGCGCCGGTTTGAGGAGGGGGGATAAGGACCACGCCACCCTGCCCTATTCCTCATTCCCTGCCCTTGGAGGCTCCATCCCTGGCCTTTCTGAACAGTTTGAAAGATGTTCAAAAGACGTAGGGAGGCCTGCAGGAAGTGACCCGAGCCATGAGGAGGGCACACATGACAACGCTGTGTTTCCAGTCTGGCCAGACTTAAAAGGGGAAGGAGGATTAAGCCGCCGGTCTGAGGCTGAGGGAGTCGCAGCCCCCCTCTGGCCGTCTCTGCCCGCGTTTGAAAGCAGAGCACCCCCATCCCCTGCCACCGCCCCGGCTCCCAAACCACTGGCGGGAGGTTTCGGGCACCCCCGGGTCTCCCGGGTCTCAGCGCCACAAGCGGAGATGTTTACAGCCGTCTGACGGCGGCTCCCAGCGCCCAGGCAGCTGCGGCTCCGGAGATCTCCGGTTTCCCGGCTGGACTTTGGACCCGCCCGGAGCTTCCCCTTATCCCCGGGCTCCGGGCTCCCAGTCTGGCGGCTCCCCTGGGAGGGCTGGGCGGCGGGGGGAATGGACCCCCCGGGGCTGACCGTCCTGCCTTCCAGAACCAGTGAGCCGGGGAGAAACGCAGGAGGAAAAGAAGGCAACTTACTCGTTGAGATCGAGCTTCCAAGTCCCACTGATGCTAACTTCTGGGATGTCCCTTGGAGGCGGTGCAGGGGGGTTCAGGGCCTTCGAGGGGACTCTCTCGCCCCAGCCATGACCCGACCGAGTGGCTGCAGCCTGGCGCCTGTCCGTGTCGTGGAGTCCTGTGGGCAGAGGCGTCTACGCCATCCCGCCCCTTCAGTCACTCCTTCTAGCGACTGGCGGAGGCTCCGTCTCCCGCGCTCTCCCGCTCTCCCTCCTTCCTCTGCGCCCGGTGCAAACCAGTCTCTGGCTAACAAGGCGATTTAAAGGGCCACGGGCGAAGGCGCCCGAGTTGGAACGGAGCAGGTGGGAGCGTGCCCTTCCGGAGTGGGGGAGCCCCCGTGCGGCGCTGCTGCCGCACCCGACGGCTCTAGCTCCTGTGGCTGGGGGGAGGGTCCGGGAGCCTGATCCGCTGGCTGGAGGTGGGGAGGGTCCAGGGATGGGAAACAGGACTGTTGTCCCCGGACTCTGCTCAGCCCCGGGACGTTCTGTCCGGGGACAAGTGGCGGGCGGCTGAGAGGGAGAGGCGGGGACACGCGCCCTCCCGAGGCAGAGCTGGAGCTCCGTGCGCCCCTCGGCGGGGCAGAGCCGGCTCCCCCCGGCAGCTCCTGCCTCCCGTTTGCATCCCTCCCTGCCTGGAGGAAAGCTGATGACATGGATTTATGCTTTGATTCCTGTGAGTTGTAGGCAAGGTAGCTGCAGACGTCACCCTGCAAAGGGAAGGCTGCCGTCTGGAGAGGGCCAGCGGATGTCTCTAAAGACTGGTTCCTTCAGGGTGGCCCTTCTGAGCCGGTGGTGACCCAGCCTTCTAGGTTCCACACGGCGGCTGCCAGGCCGAGTGTGTCTCCTTTCTCAGGGGCGGACACAGCTTGACCCAGCGTGTGGTGGTCCCAGCGCGCCACACTAGCACAGGTGCTCAGTGAATGTTTATCAAATAAGGATGTCTGCAACAGGAAAACCGGTTCATTAAATTACAGTGAGAAAAATGCTCGTCACGGGTCTGGAGCGCACCGAGTCTGTCCTCTCCTTTAAGCACAGCAACATGGAAGCTTAGTCTCATTAATGGTGGCCTGGGGTTCCTCTTGCTGCGGAGACCAGCGAGCACAGAACCCATTGCCCAGGCGCCCTCGCCGGGTCGTGTGTCCTAGTGCAGTCCTGCCAGATTTGCCTCCTGGACACTCTTCTCCCCGTTAGGGGGACTCAGCCTGTCTTGGTGTTCTTCCATTCTATGTTGGTTGATCTTATGGTTTAACACTAGGAGAAGAGAGCTCTGAATTCCTTAATTTCCTAGTTCTTGGGAGAGGACTTAGCCATGTAGCTCTGAGGTCCAGACAACACAAACGATAAGCATTTACTGAGCCCTGTGGAGCCCTGATGAGGCCTCTGTCCTAGGGTAGCAATTGCATTTGAAGGATAGAGACCATGGTATTCCCTCTGCCCTGGTGGGCCAGCCTGGCTGACTTTAAAGCAAAACATAGGGAAGTCTGGAAAATATTGTTTTGCAATATTCTCTCTGTGATGGGACCTTGAACCAGGAAACAAAATCTGTGTCCCGTTCTCAGCCTAGACCTGAAAAATGAGAAGTACAGGGATTCTATTCCTGAGTGGCTGTTGCAAACTTAGGTGACTTTTCCATGCCCAAATCTCCCCAAAAGCATAGACAACATTTGAGGACAGGAGACACAGTTGAAGAACTATTCAGGGAGTTTGGAAGGTACTAAGTGCATTTTTCATGGTCTGAAAATTGATGAGGCACTGCTGGAAAGTACCAGAGAATTCATATGTATTATCACTGTTAATTAGAGCACACACACTTCTGCCCATCCCTTTATCTGCTTCTTGTACCTTCTTTCATTGAGCCGGAGATGAGTTCACAATTAAAGTTTTCTCTTTAGAATATGTCACAGGAAATTATTTTTTCTCCTATTTATAGAAATTCCATTTGCATTTATGAGACTGGAAATGTCTCATAAATATTTCCTGCCAGATAAAATATTAATTAAAAGAGTTTATTGAATTATACTCTGAAATTCTAACTAAATCTCTTCTAAGACAAATATTTAAGTATTTTCTCATGTCAGGAGAATTCCTCATATATTACTTGTGTGTGTTAATAAGCTCATCTGTAAACAGCAGATATCTATCAATTAATGACATATTGTTTCCTAATATTGAACAAAAAAATCATGTAATTGCCATCCACTTTAAAAAGCAAAAAACAAAACAAAATATTGCCAACGCCATTGAATCTGCCCTCGAATACCTCTTCTTCCCTCCAGAGAGAATCAGCAGCATGAATTTGGTGTTTCTCTTTCCCATGGTTTCTTTATGCTAAAACCACACACACACACACACACACACACGCACACACGCACACATGTGCAAACACACATACACACCATACTTTGCACACACATACACAGACACACACACATACATGTCTATTCAATCAGCGAATATAAGGGGACTTCAAAAAGTTCATGGAAGGGGCCGGCCCGGTGGCGCACTGCGCTAGTGCGCCGCTTGGGAAGCGCGGAGGCGCTCCCGCCGAGGGTTCGGATCCCACATACAGACCGGTTCCCACTCACTGGCTGAGCGAGGCGCGGGGGCAACGCCGAGGGTTGTGATCCCCTTGCTGGACCTGTTGCTGGTCCCGGTCCTGTACGGGGGCAACACTGAGGGTTGCAATCCATTGCCGGACACGGAAAAAAAAAAAGACAAAAAAAAAAAAAAAAAGTTCATGGAAGGATGCATATTATCTTTTAATTCCATTTCCACAAACTTTTTAAAGTACCCTCATATTGACCATATGTAAGTATTTTTATATTTGCAGACTCCTTCGGTTAGGCCTACTATGTTTGAGACACTTGGATAGGTACTGTGAGAGAAACTAAGAAGTATAGTGTGGGCTTTGATCTAAAATGCCTTACATCTGATTGGGGAGGTCAGCACACAGTTTGGGAAAAGTTAGCAGACAAATTAACCAACGTGGGATTTTAATTGGTGGGTGCTAATTGGATGGTGGGGTGGAACTGGCAGGAACTCTAACAATGCATGGAGAGGAGGAGCTGCGGGCTGACCTCTGCCCCAGGCTACAGGGAAAAGGGCCTTGGGAAGTGAGCCTGGGAGGAAGAGGAGGGTTGACTAGAAAGAGCGGAGCAGGGCTGTGAACCAAGGCCGGGGAGGCAAGGCTCAGTGTGTTTGGGGACCGGAGTGAGGGAGGGATTGCTGCCGGGATCTTAGGGGAGGTAAAGTGACTGTGACAGTGGCTGTGATTGATTGAATGCCTACTCTGTGCCCAGCTCCACTGGGTGCTTCACGTAGGTAATGGCTTGTGATTTTCTTCCGAGCCTTGCGATGGAGGCAGCGTACCACGATTTCTCAGATGAGGAAACAGACAAGCAAGGCGTCCTCTCGTTGACACAGCTTCAATAGTGAATTTCAGAGCTGGTGTCAGAACCCAGCCTCGTTAGAGTCAAAAATCATGTTTCCAATCGTTATGCGCTGAATTGTGTCCCTCCCAAATTCGTATGTTGACACTCTAGCCCCCAGTACCTCAGAATGTGACCGTATTTGGAGTTAGGACCTTTAAAGGGGTAATTACATTAAAATGAGGCCATTAGACTGGGTCCTATTCCAATTTGATTGGTGTCCTTGTAAGAAGAGGAAATTTGGATGCACAAAGACACCAGGGATGCTCGGGCACAGAGGAGAGACCCTGTTAGGATGCAAGGAAAAGACGGTTGTCTGCAGGCCAAGGAGAAACCAACCTGCCGACGCTGATCATGAACTTTCAGCCTCCGGAACTGTGAGAAATAAATTTCTGCTATTAAACCCCGCAGTCTGTGGTATCTGCTTACAGCAGTCCCTGCAAACTTACACACAAGCATGATGCATTTCTGTTGCGTCCCAGAAATCGGACTTTGTTCTGCAGATGGGAAGTAACTATTGAAGATTTCTGAGTTGGGGAGATTATGAACGTCATTGTAAAGATTTCCCTTGGGGTGCTCTGTGTATTGTTCACTCATTTATTCATTTCAGCAAATAATTTCTGAGCACCTATTTTGTGACCTCCGAGCTTGCAGGGACCGTGTTTGTTTTGCTCATCTCTGAGCACCTGGTACTTGGTAGATGATCAATAAGTATTTGTTAAATGAAAGAAAGAATGTGGGCTAGGTTTGGGGGATAGGAAAAATGACAAGACAAACAGAGCTTGACTTCAAGGAGCTTGCAGTCTGGTGAGGACAGCTGTCAGTGTATAACGTTACACAAAGTGATCAGTTAAGGTGGGGCAGAGATTATCAAGCAGTGCTACTCAATAGAGCTTTTGCAGGGAAGGAAACGTTCTATATCTGCCTGTATAATGTGACACGTGTGGCTATTGAACGTGTAGTGGCTACTATGAATAAAATGGAATTTTAAATGTTAATCAATTTTCATGTAAATTGGCACTAGGCAGTATGGCAGGTGGCCACAGTACACAGTCTAGGAGCAGACAGCAGACGTGGGGGAGCCTCTGTGGGCGAGGCACTGGTGCCAGCCTGGCGTGACAGGGCTGCAAGGAGGGCAGGAAGAGCCTCATAGTGCCGCCCCCTGGGGTCCTGTAGAAATGCAGAATGTCTGGAATCTGCTCAAAGGGAATCTTCATTTTAGTCAGATCCCAAATGAGTCATAGGCACGCTGGGGTTTCAGAGAGCACACTGAAGAAAGAATCTGCAGAAGCAAATCACTGATGGGGTCTGTGAACAAAGGAGAAGACGAATGAAACTGGATGGCTTGGAGCTGAGCTGGGTTTAGATGCTTTGAATCTACAGGGATACCAAGGCCATTTCTGCAAACACCTTGCCCCTTTGGTTGCCCTCCACTAGAGCTCCGATCACATGTGCTGGGATCAGAGCTGCAATCTACAAGTTCTACCTGCAATCTAAAAGTTATTGGGGGTGGGGACCTTGTTTTTAAAAATCCCTGAATTACTAGTGTCTGGCCTCATGCCTTTGGCTGGCTCAGTGAGTGTTTACTGACTACATGCATACCTGATGACAGGAATCAGAAAATCAGGAGGAGGAATAGGCGGCTTGGAAGGGAAAGCTGCAGTGTTTGATTTTAGACATGTTGCACGCTGACTGGGGGCTGGGCGAGTCACCGAAGTGGAACTGTCTGAG